CACTTCCTGGTTATCAGGTGGCCATCTGGCTGTGTCCTCACTTGGGAAAATAGTGGAGAGAGGTCACTGGGGCTTCTTTTATAAGGCTATGAATCCTACTTAAGAGGACTCTACCCTCATGACCCAGTTACCTCACAAAGGCCCTCACCTCCTAACAATCACACAGGGAGTTAGGATTTCAGCATATGAATTTGGGAGCACACAAACATGCAGTCCCTAATAGGCCCAAACTCAGCTTCTAACCTTCTTCACAGGAAATGCTCATTGATCAGTCCAAATTGTCCTTCAGGCCAGTGTTGTTCAGCATCTGAGTTTATGACAAATGATAAAATAGTCTCATATGTAGGTTCATACAGGAAATAGAACCTTTACTGGAATGATGATCTGGAAACTACAGGTTTCATCCCACACTGACTGAAAAGGGGCATCTAAATTCTAGCTCAGGCCCCTCGCTGGCACTCAGAACGTGGCCTCTTCATTAGCTGCCTCTCTGGTGGGTAGGCCATGAGCTGGGCAATGACACATAAAGATGCCATTAATAAATGTGCCCATCCTCAGGCATATTTGGTCACGTTTATCATTGAAGCGAGCCGGTTTTTTATTTTTTTTAATACATTTTATTGATTTTTTCACAGAGAGGGAGAGGGATAGAGAGCCAGAAACATCGATGAGAGAGAAACATTGATCAGCTGCCTCCTGCACACCCCCTACTGGGGATGTGCCTGCAACCAAGGTACATGCCCTTGACTGGAATCAAAACCGGAACCCCTCAGTCCACAGGCCGATGCTCTATCCACTGAGCCACACTGTTCAGGGCGGGAGCCAATTTTTTAAAGTGGGATTATTGACCTTCCACCTTAAGTGAGACCTCATTTTCTCTATTAAAGCTTAGGAAGGAAACAACATTTTAAATGAATATGGCCCACCTCATCACGTGGGGATGGGGTGGGGCAGGCAAAGTGTAAATTATCCAGGATACAGACCATAAAGGGGAGAAAGGCAAGGAGCAACTCTCAAGCAAGGTTTAGGAACCAAATGTCTAAGTAGGAGTTTAGTTGGAATTTCTTTTTCCAGTTTCGTTTCCTTAATCCTCCTGCTTCTAACAGTTGCTCCCATTGTTCAAGGTTGGAGAACTGCACACCACTCAGGATTTTTCAGCAGATCTGCTGGAAACTGATTGAAAATATGGGCTCACTTTCTCCTGTGGAAAAGAGTACTCCATCTACCACGCGTGTCCAATAAATTAGACTATAATTGGTTTCCTGCCACCCCACCCCTTGGTGGAGCATCACCATACGACCATAAGTTTGTTAGTAGCTCTTTCCCGTGCAGCTGGCACTCGGTGTAATTTTACTGGTTAGATTTGAACTTTATGAATCTGTATTATCATAGCATTCAGAAAGACATCTGACTTTACCCTAAAAGGTCCTGAATATTGTTACTGGGGAGAGAAAAGACTGGATGTTTTTATAAAGAATTGTATGTGTTAATCTACATAAATCAATAATGCTATTTCTCAGTTCCTCTAAGGGCCACTGCAGTCATGATGCTGAAACTCTTATTAATGAAAGTAACTCGATAATGAAGGGGTTGGGATGTATTTGAGAAGTATATTACAATAGGATTGGAACACCTACAAGCTAGAAATACTTTTAGGCCCATTGGGCTGGGGTAAACTCAGATACTTATCAGTTTACTTATTAACCTGTATCCAACTGGTTGAAAAGTATTATTCTGAGCTAAATCAAGCCCAGACACATGGTGAGACGCATGAGGATTGGAAATCAAGAACAAGGCAAATAGATTCCCAATTTAGTAACAGTGTTACTTATGAGAGGGGCCTCCACACCAATGTAATAAAATTATTATTTTTTGTAATCATTGTGCCGGATGTCACCAATTTATTCTTACAAGGTTGTCAGAGGAGTCTGACAATGGGTCTCTCCATTAACTTTGGCTTAAGGAAAGGCCGACTCCATATACTCTGCCTGAAGAAGTATGCTTTCTATTTTTATTTTTTATAGGAAGATGCAAGGAGTGGGCGCTATGGAGGGTTCTCGGGGAAAGTCTCACCTGATTCTTGTTCATCAAGTGGGACATCACCAGCTACAACAGACAGAGTTCCCAGCTACTGTAGGGGTTTGCTTACAAGAACTCTAAAGGTCGGTGTTTCCACGATTTTCTCAGGATGGCAGTGAGCAAAGGGACTCACTTTTAAAAATATATATATTTCTTTATTGATTTCAGAGAAGAAGGGAGAGTGAGAGATAGAAACATCAATGATGAGAGAGAATCATTGATTGGCTGCCACCTGCACGCCCCCTAGTGGGGATTGAGCCTGCAACCTGGGCATGTGCCCTTGGCCGGAATTGAACCCAGGACCTCCCAGTCCGCAGGCCGACACTCTATCCACTGAGCCAAACCGGCTAGGGCCGTGGTCGGCAAACCGGGGTTCATGAGCCACATGCGGCTCTTTGGCCCCTTGAGTGTGGCTCTTCCTAAGCCTTAGGAGTACCCTAATTAAGTTAATAACAATGTACCTACCTATATAGTTTAAGTTTAAAAAATTTGGCTCTCAAAAGAAATTTCGGTTGTTGTACTGTTGATATTTGGCTCTGTTGACTAATGAGTTTGCTGACCACTGGTAGGGTAAAGGGACTCACTTTGGGGTTTACTTTTCTGCTCTTCTCCTTGCCTGTTCCTCACGGTTGCTGCCACACCTCCACTAGCATTTCTTCATATAGTGAACATCCTAACAGGAAGGAAGGGAGGGGCTTTTCTTTTTCATCTTGGAGGAAGCTCTTCTCCCACAATCCCTCAGAAGACTTGACCTAAGTAGGTGGGGTTGGGGAAGTGAACATCTGACATTTCAGAGCTGATTATAGAAGGTAGGCAGTTCGGATGACTCTAGATGGGAAAATGGCTTCTGCCACCAATTTACTTCTCAAAGCATCAGAAGCCACGGAGAGGTACAGCCATTGTCCTAAACCAAAGGCACCAGAATGTGGCCCTGTGGCCTCCCCTCCGTGTCTCTTCTGTTTGAGAAAATCCCTTTGCTTCTTGTTATGTATCTTTCTTCTTAAGATGTTTATGGAGAAATGTTTCCCAAGTAAAAGAAAGCGAGATGGAATTTGACATGGGAGAAGATCTTTGAGAAAAATCTCATTAGCTCTCACCATGAGTTCTAGGTCTTGGCTCTCAGAAAGGTTTTTTTAAGTGGGGGGGGGGGGTGCCCTGGCCGGTGTGGCTCAGTTGGTTGGGCATTGTCCTGAGCACTAAAATGTTGCTGGTTCCATTACCTTAAGTGAGAGCTGGAGCCAGCAGGGCAGGTTATATTCACATATTGGGCTTGTGCTTGACAGGGCTCTGCCTTAGTGTCCAAACATTTCCAGTCCATTGCAACCAAAAGGAAGGGTAGTCCTGTCTGGAGGGCAGCAATGTAATTTTAGCAAATTCTAGGACAGGTTCAGCTGGGATGGTACAACAGAGTGAATAATTTTTATTCCCCCCCCCCCCCCAATGGAGTAGCAGAGGCTGGATGTACCCTTTTATCTCAAACAATTCTAAACCCAAACCAAATAGATGGAATAATAGTTTTCAGACCTTAGACAATAGGCAGAACAGGCTTCTTTCTGACCCTTAAGAGAAAGGAAATGAATGAAACAAGTCCTGTGATTTACCAGCTGGAAGTCTAGAGGCAGCCCTGGCTGGGTAGGTCCGTTGCTTAGAGCATTGTATGGATATGCCAAGGTTTGGGGTTTGATCCCCCGTCAGGGCACATGCAGGCATCAACCAATGAATGTGTAAGTAAGTGGAACAACAAACAGATGTTTCTCTCTCTCTCTCCCTTCCTCACTCTCCCTAAAATCAATAAAATTTTTTAAGATTCAAGAGGCAGTTCTCAGACCACAGAGCAGACAGCAGTCTTCACTCAGTTGAGGAGACAGGTATTAGAGTGCAGAGAGACCAAGAAGACTAGAATTTGTGACTTCAGAGATATGCAGATGAGTCCTCTCAAGTCTCTCATAATGAATTGAAGTATTTGGGAATTCAACAACACACTTGGTAATATATTATCCATGTGTCAAAGAAGAAATTACAAGACAAATTAGAAAATATTTTAAACTGAACAAAACTGAAAATACAACATACCAGTACTTGTGGGATGCAGTCAATAACTAAGGAAAATTTTATAGCATTGAATTCTGGCTTTAGAAAAGAGGAAAGGTCTCAAATCTTTCACTTCCAGAAACTAAAACAGCCTGCCTGACGTTGCTCAGTGGTTGAGTGTTGACCTATGATCCAGGAGGTGACTGGTTACTGGTCAGGGCACATGCTTTGGTTGCAGGCTCAATCCCTAGTGGAGGGCCTGCATGAAGCAGCCAATTGATGGTTCTCTCTTATCATTGATGTTTCTATCTTCCTCTCTCCCTTCCTCTCTGAAATCAATAAAAATGTACTTTTTTAAAAAGAAACTAAAACAAATTATGCTCAAAGAAGGAAATGAGCAGAAATCGATGAAATAATAAGAAATGGAAAAGTGATTGAGAAAATTAATGAAACCAAAAGCTACACAATAAAATGGATAAACCTCTAACCAGAATTAAAAGACAGAAAATACAAATTACCAATTTTAGAAATGAAAGAGGAGATAGCACAACAGGTTCCACATACATTAAAAGACTAATAAAAAAATACTGTATTATGAACAACTTTATGCCAATAAGTTTAACAATTTGGGTGTGATCAACAAATTTCTTGAAAGATACAGACTACCAAAAGTTCCCTGAAGAAGAAATACATACATAACAGAGAACATTTTGACTGTTGCCAGATGGGAGGGGGGTTAGAGAATGGGTGAAAGAGGTAAATGGATTAAGAAGTACAAATTGGGCCCGGCCAGCGTGGCTCAGTGGTTGAGCATTGACCTATGAACCAGGAGGCCATGGTTTGATTTCCAGTCCAGGTGCATGCCCTGGTTGTGGGCTCAATCCCCAGTAGGGGGCGTGCAGGAGGTAGCCAATCAAAGATTCTCTCTCATCAATATTTCTCTTCCTTCCTCTCTGAAATCAATAACAACATATCTTTTTAAAAAAGAAAAGAAGTACAAATTGGTTGTTACAAAATAGTTATGGGGATGTAAAGTATAGCATAGGGAATATAGTCAACAATATGCTAATAACTATGTATGGTGTCAGATGGGTACTAGGCTCATTGTGATCACTTAATAAGGTATATAAATGTCTAATCACTATGTTTTACACCTATAATATAATATCGCATGTCAAGTATTAAAAAAACTAGTAGATATTCTTAATTATAGTAAACTTAAAGAGTTTTTTATAACAAAAATAAACTTTTGCTCTGACACAAAAACTAAGCAGTTAGAAAATAGAATGATAGTAAAGACGAAATTTATAATAGCAACAAAAGGTAAAATACCTAGGAATAAATTTGATTTATGTGAATAAAACTTGGAACAATTGAGAGGCATAAAGAAGACTTGACAATATCAACTGTTCTTATATAATAACTCTCAGTTTTATACAGCAGCTGGTTTTCCCAACATTAATCGATAAATACAGTGGGATTCTAATAAAATTTCCAAGATAATTGTTTTCTTTATACGTGTGTGTGTGTGTGTGTGTGTGTGTATAGAGAGAGAGAGAGAGGGAGAGAGAGAGAGAGAGAGAGAGATTTCAGAGAGGAAGGGAGAGGGAGAGATAGAAATATCAATGATGAGAGAGAATCATTGATCAGTTGCCTCCTGCACACTTCCTACTGGGGATCGAGCCTGCAACCCGGGCATGTGCCCTTGACCAGAATCAAACCCAGGACGCTTCAGTCCACAAGCCTCTATCCACTGAACCAAACCAGCTAGGGCTCCAAGATAGTTGTATTCAACGAAGCATAGGTTCTCAAATTCATGGTGTGAATAATATTTTATGCCAAAGTAGGCACTTTTGAGGAATGGAAATTGTATTACTGTTGATTTGGGGAGAGAAAACTCGCCTCCTTGGGGAAAGAGGTTGGATAGCTGGGGAAGCAGGAGCCTCCCCAATTTTTCCCAGCTTCCTGTCGTGTCACCAGGTCCTAGGATCTGCACAGACTCCCGCGGCCACTCTTGCGCCTCCTGCACGGGGGCAGAGACCTTCCGGAAATGGCAATACAGTTGTGCCCTGGTGCGGAGGTTACCAGCATTGGTGTTGATCAGGTCCTATTCTGTTGGGTTCAGTTAACTCCATCCACACGGTGATTCTGGTGGCCTCTGATCTTGCTGGAGCCCTTCATCCTGTTTGTCTGGACACGGGATGTCTATTATCTCCATTGCCTGAGATAGAAAGACGTTATTTCTTTTTTTCTGGTTTCTAATAACTGGGCTAGTCACCTGCCATGCTCTCATATATATTTTTTTAACACCCTCGGTCCCATAAGAGGCTTGGTAACATGAGACAGTTTCCCTTAAAAAATAAAAAAAAGGACAAGTATTCCCTGTTAATGTGAATGGTTAGAATTTATTTATTTATTTATTTATTTATTTATTTATTTTTTAATGGTTAGAATTTAATATCCTTTGTTTAGGAGCTTAAGTATCTTAAATCTTCCTGTGATTACAGTGGCCATGCCTACTCTGGCCAATGACCTGTTCCCAGGTGTGACTGACAAGCAAGTACCTTCCCTATTTCGCTGAGACTTAATGGGTATGCGTCTAAATTGCAGCTTCTTGCCCTAGCTGGTTGGGCGCAGTGGATAGAGCGTTGGCCTACAGACTGAAAGGTCCCAGGTTCAATCTCGGTCAGGGGCATATACCCAGCTTGCAGGCTTGATCCCCAGTAGGGGGCAGGCAGTGATTCTCTCTCATCATTGATGTTTCTATCTCTCTCTCCCTCTCTGAAATCAATACAAATGTACATATATATATATATATATATATATATATATATATATATATATATAATTATTGACTTCTTACAGAGAGGAAGGGAGAGGGATAGAGAGTTAGAAACATCGATGAGAGAGAAACATCGATCAGCTGCCTCCTGCACACCTCCTACTGGGGATGTGCCCGCAACCAAGGTACATGCCCTTGACCGGAATCGAATCTGGGACCTTTCAGTCCGCAGGCCGACACTCTATCCACTGAGCCAAACCGGTTAGGGCAATACAAATATATTTTAATAAATAAATTGCAGCTTCCTGGCAAAGCTGCACAAATGGTACACCCATACTATTTGGTCTTTCCTTTGCTCCTTTCCAGTGAATTAATACCCGGGTTAATTACAGTGGTGTCACCACTATGTGAAGTGGTGAAGGTCTGACGCTGTCACCTGTATTCAGGAAATGAGTGGAACGAACTAAAAGTATGTATTTGCAGAGGTTATGAGTTTATACATAGAATCTTTAGGAATGTGAAGACATGCTTTTAGAGTAGATGACTATAGGAAGGTAACAGGCTGCAGGTTGATGTTCAAAAATCAATTGTGTTTCTAGATGGAAGAAGCTAATAATTGAAAAATGAAATTAAAAATAATTCCATTTATGTAGCATCAAAAATTAAAAACACTTCTAAAAATTAAAGTATGTAATTCCTATATACCAAACACTATAAAATGTGAAATTGAGATTTATAATAAATGTACATTTTGGCCTCTGTCCATGGTTCTTGGTTCATGGCTTCCCAAATCCTAAGTGAGAAGAGCAACAGCAACATCATTTGTTACAATATTTGGCCTGTTATCCTCAAATCCTGAAATGGCTTCAGAGACATAGAGGGGAAATGGGCGTCATGCTATTCATGATAAGCTCCTTTCAACCACACCCGAGCGTTTGTTAATGAGGTTACTTTTGGAAAGCACCGTTGTCAGAAAGTTGGGGGCTGGTTGTCAGACGAACCAACTGTGGTTGGAGAGTTGGAACTTTCAGTTGCAAACCCAGGAACTCTGAAGAGGGAGAGGGGGCCAGGGGGTTCCGTCACCAATGGCTGATGGTTTACTCCACCATGAGGCCCATGCAGCAACGCCGCCATAAAGACCTATACAGTCCTGTGGATGTGACAGCTGTGGCAAGGGATTCCGTAGCAGCACAGGTCTCACATTCACTGCAGAACTCACACTGGAGAGAAACCCTATAAATGTGAAGAGTGCGGCAAGGGCTTTGGTTGGAGTGTTAATCTTCGTGTTCATCAGAGGGTCCACAGGGGTGAGAAACCCTATACCTGTGAGGAGTGCGGGAAGGGCTTCACTCAGGCTGCCCACTATCACATCCATCAGAGGGTCCACACTGGGGAGAAACCTTATAAGTGTGATGTCTGTGGTAAGGGCTTCAGTCACAATTCACCGTTAATATGCCACCAGAGACTCCACCCTGGAGAGAAGCCGTACAAATGTGAGGTGTGCGGGAAAGGCTTTACTCGCAATACAGATCTTCACATCCATTTTCGGGTTCACACGGGAGAGAAACCCTACAGATGTAAGGAGTGTGGGAAGGGCTTCAGTCAGGCTTCCAATCTTCAAGTCCATCAGAGAGTCCACACTGGAGAGAAACCGTACACGTGTGGTGTGTGTGGGAAGGGCTTCAGTCAGTCCTCTGGCCTTCAGTCCCATCAGAGAGTCCACACTGGGGAGAAGCCATACACATGTGATGTCTGTGGCAAGGGCTTTAGGTACAGCTCACAGTTTCTGTACCATCAGAGAGGCCACACTGGGGAGAAGCCTTACACATGTGAGGAGTGTGGGAAAGGCTTTGGCAGGAGCTTGAATCTTCGCCATCATCAGAGGGTGCACACGGGAGAGAAGCCCCATAAGTGTGAGGAGTGTGGTAAGTCCTTTAGTCTCCCCTCAAATCTTAGAGTCCATCTGAGTGTTCACCTTAGGGAGAAACTATTTACATGTGAAGAGTGTGGGAAGGGCTTCAGTCAGAGTTCACGTCTTCAGGCCCATCTGAGAGTCCACACTGGAGAGAAACCGTACACGTGTGACGTATGCGGGAAGGACTTCAGTCACCGCTCACGTCTCACGCACCATCAGAAAGTCCACTCTGGCAAGAATCGTTAAGAATGAGAAATGTGGCTGAAACTGGTTTGGCTCAGTGGATGGAGCGTCGGCCTGTGGACTGAAGGGTCCCATGTTCGATTCCGGTCAAGGGCATGTACCTAGATTGCGGACACATCCCCAGTAGGAGGTGTGCAGGAGGCAGCTGATCGATGTGTCTCTCTCATTGATGTTTCTAACTCTCTATCTCTCTCCCTTCCTCTCTGTGAAAAATCAATAAAATATATTTTAAAAAAAAAGAATGAGAAATGTGTTCATGCCTTCAGTCAGGTTGTACATCTAGCTTTTGGAGAGTCCATGCTGGGGATAAAACACTATAACGTTTTGAGAGTGGAAAGGGGTTTCTTCATCACTTGGAATCTAACAAATCCATAAAAATGATGATATAAAACCATAGTAACAGGAATAGGACTGATACTCAGGGGAGAAATATGTTGTAACCCTCCTGGTAAAGTCCAATTGATAGAAATTATCTTTCTTTTAAAAAAATATTTTTAGCCCTAACTGGTTTGGCTCAGTGGATAGAGCATCAGCCTGTGGACTGAAGGGTCCCAGGTTCGATTCCGGTCAAGGGCATGTACCTTGGTTGTGGGCACATCCCCAGTAGGGGATGTGCAGGAGGCAGCTAATCGATGTTTCTCTCTCATCGATGTTTCTAACTCTCTATCCTTCTCTCTACCTCTCTGTAAAAAATCAATAAAATATATTTAAAAAAATATTTTTATTGCTCTAGCTCAGGGGTGGGCAACCCCTGGAACGTGTGCCAAACATGGCACACCAGTAACTTTTGCTGGCACATGAAACCCTCTCTTATAATCTTCCATTTACAATTTTTGTGAACATTTGAATGGCTTAAATGTTAAATTACAAGGAACTGGCAAGACACTTGATGTTATGTTTGGTTACATAAAGGCTTTTGAAAAGAAACTGGACCTCTTTAAGAGGGATGTGGGTGGTGAGAGATTTAGATATTTCCCAAACCTCAAGAGGCACATCAAAGACCTCCCAAAAAATGACAAAGCAGACTGTCAAAGCCTTCAAAAGCTGTTTTTAAACATCATCGAGTCAACTATTGAGCAGTTCTTCTCAAGATTTGCAAAATTCGGAGAACTGGAAAAGACAGCAAATTCATGAGGTTTCCAGACAGCATGAAACTGGAGGAACTAAACTTACAAATGTTTTCGTGGATAGACATGGCTGACTTTGAAATGCAGTTGATTGAATTTCAGAGTAGCTCAATTTGGAAGCAGAAATTTATTGACCTTAGAGTTGACTTGGAAAACATTGAAAAAAAGCGATTAGAGACCAGAGAGAAGTGTCGAAAACGAACTATTGAGCACTTGGAATGCCATTCCAGAAAATTTTTTCTGTTTAAAAAACTTTGCAACAGCGTTAGTCTCCATGTTTTCAATCACATATGCTTGTGAATCTTTGTTCTCAGTGATGAATTTTGTTAAGTCTCATAATAGGAGTAGCCTGACAGATGAAAGTAGTAGTCGTGCATATCTCTGAAGGTCACGAAATATAAACCTGATGTAAAATCTCTGTCATCAGTGATGCAGCAGCAAAAGTCCCACTGATAATATCAAATGGAGTCATAAAGTTTTCTGTTGGACTATCAGTGTACATGTATATATTAAAAAATAAATGTATTTTTCATCATCATATACTGTATTTTTGTCGCTCGAATGAATTTTATTATTTCTTCAAGGTTCTTCACATATGTACACCTTAAGAGATATCAAGTAGGCATAACATGTTCTCAAAAAATTAGGGTTGGCATGCAGAAGAATTTTGAGTCAGAGATTTTGCTGGTTTTGGCAAAAGGGTTGCCCACCCCTGCCCTAGCTGGTTTGGCTTAATGGATAGAGCATCGGTCTGCAGACTGAAGGGTCTCGGGTTCTATTCCAGTCAAGGGCACATGCCCGGGTTGTGGGCTCCATTCCCAGTAGGAGGTGTGCAGGAGGCAGCGGATCAATGATTCTCATCATTGATGTTTTTCTCTCTGTCTCTCCCTCTCCCTTCCTCTCTGAAACCATAAAATGTATTTTATATATATTAAATATATATTAAATATATTTTTAATAATATAATAAAATATATATTTTAATAATATATATTTTTATTGGCAATATTATATATTACTAGAATATCTGTATATTCTAGTAATCTCTAAATAGTGGTATCTTGCATTTTTTGTGTTCCAATGAAAGTTTGTTATGGACACTGACCAGGAATCAAACCATGACCTCCTGGTTCATAGGTCGATGCTCAACCACTGAGCCACACCAGCCGGGCTGATATAATGATCTTTCAAAGTGAGTACATGCCAAAAGAGAATGTGTGAAAAGGATATTTGCCATATATTAGCTAGTTTTGAGGGGATCAAGGAAGGTTTTGGATTATTTCCCCATTAACTTCCATTTTTTTATGTATTTACAGTGACCTTTATTTTTATTACAGCTTAAAAGCTTTGAAAAATGAAATGAATAAAGTAACTGACTAAAAATTTCCTGTGGCCAAGAACTCATAATATGATTCCTTTATATCATACAGTATATTGGATTAAAATTAAGGAATATATCCCCAGAGGTGAATCTTTGCTCTTCAGAAGTAAATTTTTGTCTGCTGCAGATATATATAGATATAAAAGAACATTTGCCCCGGCCAGAGTGGCTCAGATGATTGGGCATTGTCCTTTGCACCAAAAGTTTGCCAGTTCAAAGCCTGGTTAATCTCTTCCCATCCTCTTCCCTTTCCTTCCCCTTCCTTTTTTTTTGAAATTTATTTTTTGGTAGGTGACAGAATTAAAATCAACTTATGGAATCTTCAAGGTGTATATTGCCTCTGGAAGAATTTAATTATTCTCCATATGAATATCTAGTTGTTCCTATGCCAGTTACCAAAGTTTTTCCCCATTCCCCACTACTTTGCAGTACCACCTTTAAGGAAAATCAATAATCTATATATATAAAAGGCTAATATGTAAAGTGTCATGTCGGGAGTTCCACCGGGTGACAGGGAGTTCAATCGCTCACTATGATGTCCGCTGACCACCAGGGAGCAGCGTGGAACAAAGGAAGGCCCTGGCCAGCAGCTGGGGAAGGGAGGTCCCAGCCAGCAGCCAGAAGGCCCTGATCGGCCCTGATCGATGGCCAGGCCTAGGGAGCCTACCCGTGCACAAATTTTGTGCACTGGGCCTCTAGTCTATACATAATTACAGGTCTGTCTTGGCCTCAATTTTCTTTGATTGCTCTATTTTTCAATACTCTTAACAATACCATAGTGCATTAGTTATCATAGCTTTGCAAGGAGTCTTGGTATTTGGTAGAGGAGGTCTTCTCATCCTGCTCTCTCTTAAGGTTTCTTGGCAGCTTAAGAAACACCCATAAAGTATTCTTTCTTAAAAATTAATCAAATTGAGCCCTACCTGGTTTGGCTCGGTGGATAGAGCGTCGGCCTGCAGACTGGAGGGTCCCAGGTTTGATTCTGGTCAAGGGCATGTACCTTGGTTGCGGACACTCCCCAGCAGGGGGTGTGCAGGAGGCAGCTGATTGATGTTTCTCTCTCATTGATGTTTCTGATTCTATATCTCTCTCCCTTCCTCTCTGTAAAAAATCAATAAAATATATTTTTTAAAAAAGAATCAAATTGAGCCTCTAATCCCAACCATTGGTTTCAAAAAATATGGAGAAATATCTGCGACAACATGAATGAAAATGCAGGGCGTTATGTTAAGTGAAATAAGCCAGACAGAGAAAGGCCAATACTGCATGGTAGAAGTATATGTGAAATCTCGGAGAAAATAATAAAAGCCAACCTCCCAGAAACAGAGTAGAATGGTGGTGGTTGCCTGAGGGATGCAGGTGGGGTGGGGGAAATGGGGAGAGATTGGTGAAAGGGTGCAAACCTATGTTGACTACAGTTGAAATTTGTTGACAGAGTAGATCTTAAAGGTTCTCACCGTAAAAAACAGGTGATGGATGAATTAGATTGTGGGAATTCTTTCACAATGTACTTACACATATAAATTCATCACATACATTTTAAGTATATTTTAATTTTTTTCATTTATCAATATTAGAGAGAGGGGATAAAAGGGGAGAGAGGAAGAGAAAGAGAGAGAAATTGACTTGTTCCTCCATCCATAATGCATTTATTGGCTGCTTCTTGTATGCGCCCTGACAGGAGATCGAACCCGAAACCCTGTGTATTGGGGCAATGCTCTCAACAATGAGACTCCTGGCCTGGGCCTAAATATATATTACAATTTTATTTGTCAATTATACTTCAATAAATGTGCAAAAAAAGAGAGAAAGAATTGAATTTGTTACAGTTATCTGAGCTGGATCCCAGACTTCCACACCTATTTTTTGAATAATCATGGCTCATTTCAACCACCTTGTATGAAAATAAAACATCCCATCATATTTACGATGTCAAGAGCAGAGTGGATATAAATGATAAGACATTTGAAGTGTGAGCTAAAGAAAAAAACATTTTCAATGTTTATTGTAGGCTTTTCTTTTTCAAATACAGTGTAGTATTTCCTTCAGTTTCTTGACAGTGTATGTTTTTTCGTTTGCCAGAAAACTAATTTCAAAACCAGCATTTAAAATGAAGAAAAATGAGAAACTTTAGGTATTTGTTTTGTGGGTTGGTGAGAGGTTACTTTCCTATTTGTGTGTCTCAGCATTTCGGAATGAATAGCTCCCAGAAGATAAACTGTCAGAGGTCGGGGATGCATCCAGGCACAAGTGGACTAAAGAAAGCAACAACATCAAACCGACAGTAAGATATTCAGCCACGGTTACTGTTTTTGTTTGTTTTGTTAATCCTCACGCAAGGATTTTTCTCCATTGATTCTTTTATTGATTTTTTAGAGAGCAAGGGGAGAGGGATAGAGAGAGATAGAAACATGGATGAGAGAGAAACATCATCCATCAGCTTCCTCCTGCACACCCCTACTGAGGGATAGAGCCTCTTGGTTCCTGGGATTGATGCTCAA